ACACACACACACACACACACACACACACACACACACACACACACATGAACACGTGTGTACTTGAATAAAACAGTATTGAATTTCACACGTTTTTCTTGTGAAATTTTGTGCAAAGCATGATTAAATTACAGCTGAGAACAGCTTTTCTTCACCAAAATGTGTATTTAAATTTTACGGATAAAAATAGTAGTAATAGGTTATTCTTGGAAAACACAACTGCCATGATGAAAAAAAAATGAACATGAAGCCCCCAAATGACCATAAACAAAATATTGTCCTGCTTCAGCCTTGACCAATWTGAACTCCACTSTTTGGCTGAAAGCTTSTTTCTGCCCTGAGATCCAGAAACAACTCGTAGCAACAGTTACCCCCAGCTACAGCTCTTTGACTTGTGCTGCAGAGGCATCTAGGATCTACTGAAGRCTTGGCACTTTGCACACACTGAGCTGTTTGCTTTTCTAAATTCCCATGAYGGCTACAGAGTGGGGTGATGTTTCCGCTGAAGAATAAAACCTACTTTGTTTCTGCTCCGTCGCTCAAAGACTCTGAAAATAGTCACAGCTTTTCAAAACGTATTACTTTGTATTTTTCACAAATCACTAAAACAAGAGTGGTGGGAGGCCAACGYGCATTTTTCTCAAGGAAATTACAGCTAATTTGGTCTAAATTGCTCCAAATATACTTTCAGAAATTTTGTATATTACCTACAAAAAGAGTATTTTTTAAAGAGCCAGAAACTGAGCTGTAACAGAAATGCTGCTRACCTGGACCGCTCCTCTCTTGTGCATGATRATGATGTTGTTGACATTCTTGGACAGATGGTACAGAGCCATGGCTGTGGTCTGATGGACCGACCGGTCTTTGGACTTCAGGAAGTTTACTAAAGTGGCAACAGCTCCGGTCTCACCAAAGGATGCCCTGTTGGTGTCCGTCATGCTGCAGTGGCCGATGGCTTCAGCTAGGTAGCATCGAAGCCTGTCATCAGTCTGTAGAGAGCAGAACCAGTTAATGGATGTCAGAGAAAAGTCTTTGCAACATAAGAAGCTTTCGTTGGCAGCTGTCTTTAACATGAAAACACTTGTTCTGATCAGAATGTCATTGTTGAAGAGAAAATGTATTCTTACTGTTTTAGTCAGCTTGGACAGCAGTGGGACGACCCCGAGTTCAGTGAGGAATGCCAAGCTGAACTCATC